GGGCTGCGCGCGGGCTGCGCGCGGGCTGCGCGCGGGCTCCCGCCCCGACACCTGGAAATCACTTTCCCTCAAAGCTCACTGGGCGCCGACGCGGAAGTGGGTGTGGTCAAAGGACGTGACAGAATCAGCAACCAATGGGAATGAAGCCAGGGCCTCTCTCCGGGATGGCCAGCCAATGAAAAGTGAGAAGCATTTTCTCACGCGCGTCAGGGCGGGCTCGTCGGATTCCGGCTCTGATTTTGGAAGTGGCGGGGGCCCGAACCTGGGGCGCTGCAGCTGCTGCTTCGTGAACGGATTGGACCCGCTCTGTGGCCTCCGTTACTTCCCAGGTTTCTGGAGATTCTAGTTGCGGCCGCCTGCTCTCGGCCCCGCTGAGCGTCACCGCCGAGGCGTCCTAAGGCTGGGAGTCGGCGAGCGCGACGGGAGTAAACGTGCCGAGCGAGCCCCGGGGGCGGCCGCAGGGCCATTGCTCCTGCCGCCAGCATCCTTTCCTCACTGCTCAGTACCGCAGAGGAGTGAGAAAAACGCCAGGTATCATCTCCATACTCGCTGGGTCCCCCCAGCCTGAGAAAAGGGAGGAAAACAACAACAAACTGAAATCAAGATGCTCAGAAAAGATGCCGTTCTTCTCGGTTTCCATTCTATATAAGTCAGAAAAATCCTAAAGTGGCCTCAACTTAGCTTGTCTGGCCAGGGGGTCTAAATAAACAAATTCCCACGAGGTCTGACTAGTTTCTCTGCCTTTCTTAAAACTGGGAAATACTGTAGTGGAGTCGAACTTTATCTTTTGCACCAGTTTTAAAAGTGTATTTTTGCCAAAATAGAATTTTCAACAATTTCACGTTTCTTCCTGTCCGCACGTAAACTTGTACCATCGCCTTTATTCTTCCTTTCTTGATTTGGAGGAAGAGAATATCCTCAATCCCCTGCCACCTTGGATGGTTTTCCAACGGTTGATCTTTGTTTCATAGCATTTATACCTCAAATCTCCCCCTTTCCAAATGTTTCTACTCCCCAGCCTATTAACATGCTCAAACACCCGCAATCCTAAAACCAAAGTATCTGTCCACTATGCCTCTCCTTTAGATTGTTGCTTCCTACATTAACCTTGTTTTCAAACATTAGGAAAGAACCACTTATTCTCACTTCTCACCGACCGGTTAATCTTCAACAACCCTCCCCAGGCCTGATACACCCTGAAATTGCTCTTGATAAGGTTGCCAGGGGTTTTCCAACACAGCTGTGTCCTCCTGTCTGTCTCCCCCATCTCTCTATCATTCTTCCTGACCTCCTGGTAGCTTTTGTTGATTATACTCTGTTACAAAAAGCTGAGAGGCTGACCCAGCTCTTAGCCAGTTCTTCTAGTGCTCCAGTTAGGGACGGCCCATGAGACATAAGTAGGGCTTCTGGCAGCGTTTTTTGCTTTTCTGATAAGACTCTGGCACCCTTACTGCCCTTCTCCCTTTTCCTTTCCTTTTCCTTCCCACCTGGAAAGTGTTATCAACCACCGTCTGACCATAAAGATGAAGTCTGGATGCTAAAGATGGTGGAAGGAGAGAGAGGAAGAGCCTAAGTCCCTGATGGACTTGTCCATTGGCTGTTCCAGCTCCGGACATCTTCTTGTTTGCGACAAATAAATTAATACCTGTTTAAGCTACTCATTGGATTTTCTACAAGTACAACCTGAAAACTCTTATTTCTTGGTTTCTATAAAAACATTCTCTCCTAGTTTCCTGTTCTTTTTAAACTTCTTCACTGACTTCTCTTTCCGTGACTTATGTCTTCTAGTGTGTATATTGAAGTTCCTAAGAGATCTAGGTATTTCCTCTCTTTACCCTTCCCCCCCTTCACTTTGAGCTGTTTCAGATGACTTCATCTGCTCCTGATTTTGGTTACCCCCTTACCCAAACCATATGACCTTCCCCCAACCTCAGCTCTGTCTTCAGACCCCCATTTCCAACTACCTCTCTCCTCTTAGATGTTGGATACACATTGAAGACTCAACACGTTTTTGTTGGTTAGGTATCTTTGAAACAAACTCCAGTTAGGGGGACAGAAAAAGATGAGTGAACTTATCATAAGGATACAGAAGTATTTTCTTACAGAATCCACAGGAAGGAGTGCATCTGGTATTAGAAAGGGATTGGAACCAGGAAAGGGAAAGCTGTAAGGAACCCAAGCAGCTTGTGTCTCTGTCTCTTTCATATTTACTTCCTACTAACATCTGCTTAATTCTTATCTCTCTGCAAACCAGTTTTTTCTGCTACTTAGTCTATATGGAAAACTAAAGTTGCTGCAGTTTTCATGTTAGGTATCTAGATATATGTGAAGACTGATTTCCATTGCTCTGCAGAGACAACCTAGTTGTTCCAGTTTGGAACAGATGTTCATACCAAAGAGATATGGCCAGTGAGACAGGATCACGTAGCAGGCCAATCCCTTTGGATGGGATATCTGGGGTACTAGCAGTCCTGGAGAAAAGGTAGATCAATGCCTTCCCTTTGTGTCAAAAATGTATTCTCTATAATGTTCAAAAGTGAACCGAGTAGCTTTCTTGCCATGTTTTCTCTTCTTATATATTCACAGATTGGTTAATGGCTTTAGTATCTATTCAAGCTCCCTAGACAAGTGAGAGCTTGTGGTATCCATCTTGGACTCCTCCCTCTCTTTGGGCACATTCAGCCAATCATTAAATCCTGTTGCTTTTACCTCATCAATATTTTTCAGATTTCTAATACTTCTGAATGCCCCACTGTCACTGTCTTTGTTCAGTCTCATCACGTTAGACTGTAGTGCTGGATAGCCTATGTTAGTTTCCTAGGGCTCTGTATCAAAGTACCAGAAACAGCCCTGGCCAGTGTGGCTCAGTTGGTTGGATTGTCGTCCTGTACGCCACAATGTGGTGGGTTTGAGTCCAGGTCAGGGCACATACCCAGGTTGCAGGTTTGATCTCCAGTTGGGGCACATATGGAAGGCAACTGGTTGATCGATGTTTCTCTCCCTCCCTCTCTAAAATCAATTTTTAAAAAAAGTACCAGAAACAGAATGGCTTAAAATAAAGTTAGCCCTTTGTATATGTGGGTTTCATAGCCATAGATTAAACCAACCTTGGATCAAAATTATTCAGATAAAAAAAAGTTACCTTTTGGCTGACATGTACTATGTAGTTAGGTCTAAGATGGTTGCATCTGTACTGAACATGCAGAGACTTGTTTTTCCTTGTCATTATTCCCTAAACAACATAGTATAGCAACTATATACATAGCATTTACATTGTATTAGGTATTATAAGTAATCTAGAGATGATTGAAAGTATATGGGAGGCTGTATGTGGGTTATATGCAAATACGCCATTTTATATAAGGGACTTGAGCATCCTCAAATTTTGATATCAAGGGGCTCCTGGAACCAATCCCTCACAGATACCGAGGGACAACTGTAACAGAAATTTATTGTCTCACATTTCTGGAGGCTAGAAGTCCAAAATCAAGGTGTGGGCAGGGTTGGTTGCTTCTGAGGACTGTAAGGGAGAGTCTGTTCCATGCCTCCTTCCTAGCTTCTGGTGGTTTGCCAGCAATCTTGGCATTCCTTGGAGTGTAGATATATCACTCCAGTCCTTCATCTTCACTTGGCATTTTTTGTGTCTCTTCACATAGTCTTACCTCTGTGCATGTTTGTGTCTGTGTCCAAATTTTCTCTTTTTATAAGGACACTAGTCATAGTGGATTAAGGTTCCCTTTAATGACTTCACCTTAACTTGATCACCTGGTCTGCAAAGACTGTTTTCAAATAAGCTGCATTCTGAAGTACTGGAGGTAGGACTTCATATCTTTCTTGGAGGATACAATTCAACCACAATAGCCTACCATTTAGTATCTACGTTTTTTCTAGAATTAGTTTATTAAACACCTTTGATGGCTCATTCACCCTAGGAGAAAATCTAAATACCTAATTATGTCAAATATGACCAATCATAATGTGGCACCTGTAATCTAAGTAGTGATTCCTCTACATGACATGCTACACTTTCCCTCCCCCAAAGCTATTGTCTCCTTCCTTATATCCCTTTTACCCTTCATCTGGTCAGCAAATTTCTATTCATCTTTCAAGGCACAGAACAAATATTACCTCTCCATTGTAGTCTTCCTAAACCATCTATACCCCCAAGGAGAATCGATTTCTTCCTCATCTGTGTCTTACAGCAGTTAAGCAAAGACTACTCTGTACTTATCTTCTATAATATATCTCATATTGAATTATGGCTATTGGTTTGACTATCTCTCTCGCTAGCTTATAAGTTCCCCAAGGCCAGAGGGACTTATTAATTCATTGTTATTTCCCCAGCACACACAAAACTAGCACATAGTGGTGCTCTATAAATTCTCATCAAGTGGAAACAAACTTAATTATAATTCTCTATGAACCTGAACTTCTATATATGTGCAATGTGCATACAACCTGATGAGCTTCATGATGAACTAAAATTAAGTTTATGATTACTAAAATTTGGCTTTGAATAATCCATGAATAACCTTAATTTCAATTATATTTGGATATGCATGCTGAGTATAAATTATGTAATGTTTTAATTAAAATGTTATGTTGTGTTTA